ATAGATAGATAGATAGATAGATAGATAGATAGATAGATAGATAGATGATAGATAGATAAATAAATAAATAAATAAATAAATGTTTGATTGAAATGGAAGCGACATTTCGCATTCACTAAATGCAATGACAGCTGATACTTGCCACGGGAGTACGAGTCCTTCTCGTTTCTAACCAGGAGCATGACAATGTGGGGGTCATTTCCATAGACCTCCGGGAGCCCCACGGGCGCTCCACTGTCAGCCATGGGGGAGCGGGGTTCTGGGAGACGGACAGGGAAAGCGGCTGACCAGACGGGGGTCCCTCCTGCCCTTCTTCTCTCGCCAGTCATCTACATCTGTGGCCCCCTGGAGATGCTGCACCAAGTCATGCGTCGAGCCCAGTCGGAGGGCATGACCCAAGGCGACTACGTGTTCTTCTACGTGGATGTCTTCGGAGAGAGCCTGCAAGAGGACGGGCACCGGGGGGCTGCCAAGCCCTGGCAGAGCAAGGAGGGCCAGGACTCGGGCATCTTGCGGGAGGCCTTCCAGGTCAGTCCAGAAGTCGGAGAAGGGAGCTGGCACCCTCGGACACCCAGCGTGGGGAAGCGGCAGGGATGCTGAGGCTGCCATCTCGGGGGAAGGAAGGGCCTCCCCAGGCCTTTCTCGGAAGGACCTGGGCTGGGCAGAGGGGAGCCCCGCTGGCTGCTCTTCGGGGAGGCTGGCTCTACCCTCAAGGACGGGTCAGAGTGTGGGTGAGTCCATTGGGTGGCCGGGGTGAAGCCTCCTTCTCCTACTCTGGGGGTCTCTCTCTGGGCCTGGGGCTTCTCTTGCTCAGAGGGGAAGGACTTGTGGGTCTCAGTCCTCTAAAGAGGAAGGCTGCGTGTGTCTCTCTCTGCCCAGGGCCTGGCAGGAACTCAAGGGCTAGAAGAGCTGAGGTGTGGAGTGCCAGGGGGGATGCGTCAGGGGGTCAACCACTTGCTACCCAGTCTGTGCCTAAACCCCGAGGAAGCCCCTCCCAGTGCCCCCTCCCTCTGCTGGCTGCAAAGGAGAAGGGAGAGTCCCAGGTCTCTTCTGCAGCTGAGAGGGGCAAGAATTCAACCCCTTGCTGACGGGGACTGCTATGGACAAATGTGGGGGTCACAGCAGAAACCCCTGGCGAGCATCCAGCCTTTACTCCCTGGGTGCCCCTGGCCCTGAGAGACAGCCAGGCCAACTCCACGTGGCCAACAGCTGCTTGCCTCCAAATGTGTGTGTTTGTGTGTGTGTGTGTGAGGAGCTGCGATGAAGCCAAACCTTGCTGGAACTGCAGACGGGCTTCCTCGCCCCTTCCTCTCAGCCCCTTCCCCCCCCCCTTCCAAATGCACGTGTTGAGCATGGCAAGAGCCTTTGCCCCCCCCCCTCTCCTCCCAAGAGGCTGAGGCTTTGCAGAAATGCTCAGGAGGAGCAGATGGGGAGGGGGGGGAGAGGCAGGGTGGGCAAGGCGCAGGAGGCTTGGTGCCTGAGGCAAGGGGAGCCACAAGCAGCCCCCAGAGGTTGCAAAGCCCCCCACATGCTGCCACCCCCCCCTCCGACGACGGCAGATGGGAGACATTTGGCAGCCTGGTGTGAGATTTCCAGAGAGCTACGTGCTGGGAGCATGGTGCATATGTGTGTGTGTGTGTGTGAGAGAGAGAGAGAGAGAGATTGCAGGAGGGAGAAGGCTGGCGCCTCACCTGCAGGGGGGCACATGGCTCCCGTGTCCCTCAGCCAATGGCCTTTTTTTTTTGCAGACAGTGCTACTGATCACCTATCATGAGCCCCAGACTCCGGAGTACCGAAACTTCCAGAAC